TGGTTTTTAACTAAAATTTATATCCCGTATGTTTTGGAGGTTTAAAACCAGGTTTTAATGATTTGTGTGTTAGTTAGATGTTTTGTTGCTACGGTGTTACAATTATTGTTCAACCAACATACACTTAATATGCGACAACAACGTGCTATGGAGCTCATTAAAGACTATGATTGTGAAATACTCTATCATCCAAGTAAAGCCAATGTAGTGGCGGATGCATTAAGTCGAAAAGCATATGGTGGATCTTTGTGCTATGTTATCACTCACAGGATGGGAAGGTCGACTCTATTTGATGATTTGCAGAAGTGGCAACTTGAGGCTTTGAAGCCYGAGCATATTAAGTCAGAACGAATGGTAAGTTATGTTAACTCGTTATCTGAGGACAATCATGGTCTAAAGGTCTTTAAGACCCGAATCTGGGTCCCTAGGCTTGGTGGTTTGCGAGAAGTGATCCTGACGGAGGCACATAAATCAAGATTATCCATCCACCCAGGAAGTACTAAGATGTACCATGATTTACGCATAGATTATTGGTGGCCGGGAATGAAAACGGACATCGGGCATTACGTTAAAAAATGCATCACATGTCTGAAAGTAAAAGCAGAACACCAGAAGCCATATGGGAGTCTTCAACCTCTTGAGGTCCCCGTGTGGAAATGGGAGGAGTTAACTATGGATTTGGTCACCAAACTGCCAAAGACTTCTCGGCAGCATGATAGTATATGGGTTATCGTTGATAGGCTGACTAAATCAGCGCTATTCCTTCGTGTCCGGGAATCGTACTCCATGGATCGTTGGGCTCAGTTGTATGTAGACGAAGTTGTTGCTCGACATGGAGTGCCTGTGAAAGTTGTCTCTGATCGTGACTCTCGATTTATTTCTAACTTCTGGACTGGTTTTCAACGTGAGTTGGGTACACGACATGCGTTTAGCACGGCTTATCATCCTCAAACCGATGGTCAATATGAACGTACCATTCAGAAACTCGAGGATATGTTACGAGCATGCGTTCTGGAATTCGGTGGTAACTGGGATGCTCATTTGCCCTTAATCGAGTTCTCTTATAATAACAGCTATCATTCGACAATGGGCATGGCTCCTTTCGAGTGATAAGATTCAAGTGATTAGAGAAAAAATGAAAGCGGCCCAGGATCGACAAAAGTCTTACGCGGATCGTCATAGAAGGCCGATCGAGTTCTCGGTCGGTGATCTAGTAATGCTGAAGCTTTCTCCATGGCGTAGTGTACTCCGATTTAGAAAGCAAGGTAAACTTAGCCCTCGTTTCATTGGGCCGTTCAAGATATTGGAGCTTGTTGGAAAGCAAGTGTATCGACTTGAGTTGCCAGAAGAACTCACATGTATCCATGATGTTTTTCATGTTAGTTATCTAAGGAAATGTCTCGCTAAACACGAGGAGGTGGTGCCAATAACGGAAGTCGAAGTAGACGAGAAACTTATATACGTTGAAGAACCCGAAGCTCTCTTAAATGAACGAACGGTGAATCTGCGCAACAAGGTTGTGGAACTGGTGTTGGTTAAGTGGAAGAATCACCATGGACCAAATTGGACTTGGGAGAATAAAGAAGAAATGATGGCGAAGTACCCAAYCYTGTTCRAACAATGATGATTCCGAGGACGGAATMTTCAAAAGGAGGAGGTATTTGTAACATCCACCCTCCTAAATATGCTTAACTAGTAATTCTAAGTATGTCTTATATGCTAAAGCATGTTTTACATGTTAATTGAATTTTTTTTTGCTAAAATGTTTAAGTATACTAGTGATCTATAAGTAGAACTCATAGTTGGAATGAGATGTAGAASGTAAGATTGATGCTAACACCTCACAAATGACATAATTAGATGACGTGAGGGTTCAAAATATGAAGTACTTTGCCTAAATGAAAATTGGGTAGATAACTAAAGTGCTTAAATGGGAAAAGTCTACCCAAATCTTGAGCGGATGATCTAAATGGTGATCTATTGGAACACCTTTGAATAAGTTAATATGAAGTGTTAGAAGTGTCAGAAGTCGAAAAAGTCGCGTAAATTGCATTTTATGCAAGTTTTTCAATTACAGTACTATTTCGGTGAACTACGCGCACAATACTTAATCGGGAGGTTTTTGATAGAATGTTAAGCTTTGGAACTAAGTTTTGGACCTATTAGGAGTTGTTGGAGGTGTCGGAAAATTTTTATGGGATTCCGAGCTCAAAATCAAAAACGACAAGATTACAAAGAAAAACATAACATGTACAAATCTGTAAAACTGCTTTTATTGGTAGATATTTTATGAAATATTTTTATTGTAAGTTGTAGATTATCTTGTTACGAACGCGTAGGCGAAAATCTCATCGAAAACGGAGATCCGAGCAAAAAGTTATGATTTTTTTGTGTTAAGTGGTCAAAATGGGTATTGGGTCAACCCAACCGGGTCAACCCGACCCAAGACGAGTTCAACTAGGGTAAAACACGATTTTACCCACTTTTCACCCCATTTCCACACACTTAACTTCTGGAAACTTAGAGGTGCGATTTCACACATTTAGTGTGCGAACTCACTTCAATCTTAAGGATTATTCAAGGATTAATCAAGGATTTAAAGGTATATCTCATTCTTTTATCAATTTGAGTATGTGAATTTGAGGTTAGAGTTATGGTTTGCTAAGAATCTGTTTTATATGAAATTTGTTTGATGATATAATGTTGTATAACAAGTTATGTAGCTTGGATGATAGATAAATCACAAGACATTGTTGATTAATTATAGCATTCATATATGAAGTTTGACTTTTGAGAGTCAAACTTGACAAATCTTGGAATTAGCGTATAAAATGAAAGAATTTTGATATTTTTATAAAGTTTTTGATGTTTAAGGATGAAATYATGAATTTGGAACCATTTGAAGGTGATTTGGATAGAAAAGCATCAAAATTGGACATTTTAAACTACAAAAGTCACTGTTTCAGCAGCAACTTTGAAAATTCATATAAAATCAAAGAMAAATTCTGCAATGGTGAGACTAGTGCCATTTGAAAGATAATTGAATCTAGTTTAATTTATATTTTGAAGTCATTGAGAAATGTTGAGGTTAGGTAGGGTAAAACAGGGCTAGAACACAGTGCTGTAATAGAAAAACTAAAGTATGAAAGTTAACTAGTCATGGGGMTAAATTGAGTTATATGCATCCAATGCTCATGAAACTTAATGAACATACTCCAGGGGATATTTGGAGCTTGTTTGATGCTTTTGGAAGGTATCTTAGTGTGTAAAACACGAGTTTGGGACGTAACCTTCAATCTAGCTTTCGTTTGGTAACGATAAAAAACTTGGTGAGTTAAATGTTTATTCAAGTTATATTGTATTATGTGTATATATGTATATCTTCTATATTTACATGATTTGGATGTTTTTTTAGTTTGTTGGATTGGTCTTTGGTCAACCATATACGTTGTTGTAGTTGTTGTTATATTTTTTTCGCTTGAGATTACTCCATATTATGGGTCAATTTCATATCTGAATTCTGCTGGTTATGTTTTTTTTCCTTGTTTGGTTTCTTTGTCATGCCGGGAGTACGGGTACTACTTTGTGTGGTATGCCGGAAGCAACGGTGGATGTCAACAGCCCGGGTGAAGAGGGCGAAACCGGTGAGACATTCGTATATTGTACTCATTGTCCAATGGTTCGGAGGGGCATGAGTACGGGACTTGGGCATACCCGGGAGATGAAGGCGGGTCCCTGCTAGTCACTAGTATTCTATTTGGTTATGCATAGCGGTTCGGGCATACCCGCATGATGATTGTGGGTCCCTGCTAGTCCTATGCATTAAGATTGATGTATTGTGGATATATGATATGTTGAGGCGTTTGTTATGATTGATATCTTCGGAACTCTTGCGATGGGTGAATATGTAAGCTATAATTAATATTTACAATGAGTTTCTGGTATGCCTTGGTATGTGTATGGGATAGTGGTTTCTCATATTAATTATGTCTTCGGTTTGTTTTCTTATATATATATATAAATATAAAGTGTTTATATTCTTTTTTTTAGTTCATTTAACTCACTAAGCCTCGTGCTTAATCCGAATTCTTCAACATTTCTTTTTCAGGAAAAGAATTAGACAAGGGAAATGATCCTGTGAAGTAATTGATTCGGTTATATTTGAAGAACTTTATATAGCTTTTGGTACATGTTTTAATTTTAATATTTTGGCATGTATATATATATATATATTAAACATTCCGGGTAGTTTATTATTATGTCTCGGTAGGTTTAGGTTCATCCTGTTTGTAAGTAATTATTATCTTTAGTTTTGATGACTTTTTGGGTCAAACCGTATGAACATTTTTGGTGGTTTTTAACTAAAATTTATATCCCGTATGTTTTGGAGGTTTAAAACCAGGTTTTAATGATTTGTGTGTTAGTTAGATGTTTTGTTGCTACGGTATTACAAAAATTCTCTTACAACTGGGATATTCTCCATCTTTTCCTTTCCTTTCTTTATGTCAATGGCATTGGCAAGAAAACTAACACGTCCCTTCTACACATATTTCCGAGTCTGTAAAATCGAGATAAAGCTGGAATAACGATCCCGTCGGTCTCCATAAATTATAACCTTTCCTTTTCCTGGTAAGTCTATATGGATCATCTTTTCGTGACAAATTATGTTAGCTTGATTTTTAGGTAACCAATCCATGCCTATGATTATATCAAACTCTCTTAAAGGCAAAGGAAATAACTGTATAGGCACCTCACACCCTTCTATATTTATAGCACATTCATCTATCATTTCCTTAACTAAAACATCACTATCGTTTGCTGTCTCCATGATTAAATCCTCATTCACTGCTTTAGATTTTAAATGTGCACAATTAACAAACGACGACGATACAAAAGAACAATTTTCAGCAGAGTCAAATAATACTTTGGCACATATTGAATTAACAAGGAATGTACCTGTCACCACTTCAGGGTGTTCTTCTGCTTCGCCTCTCATCATCTGAAAAGCTCGTCCTTTAGCAATTGGCTTACCATATCCCATTTCTCCACGACTGCTTGAAGTATTACAATTAATTGCTGACCCACGACCAATTGGAACATAACCAGATCCTCGGCCCCCAGAGTATCCAGATCCTTGACCTCCAGCAAATCCAGACCCTCGTCCTCAAGTAAATCCAGACCCTCGTCCCTTAGCTTGTGGACAATCAGCATTTACATCCTGAGAGGAATTCCAGGTAATACATCTTCGCACCATTTGGCAGTCTCGAGCTATATGTCCTAATTCTTGACATTTAAAACATACTCGTGACTCGGTATTGTAATTTCCATGATGTATCTTATGACATCGTGTACATGCTTTATCACCAAACCATGGGACTGGCCGATTCAGATTTTCCATAAACCTTGGTCTATGAAAATCAGTCATTAAAGTGTCTCCTTTAATTTTATCCCCAACCCTTTCTTGTGGTTGACGATTGATGTCTTGTTCCAGTATTTCTGCAGCGTCAACCGCTGCTTGAAATGTCATTGGATTTCTGGATATCACATACTTTCGGAGATTGGACTCCAAACCCAGATGTACTTTCTTACTTTACTGTTTTCAGATATAATGTATGGTTCAGCAAACCGAGATTGTTCCATGAAGACTTCCGTATACTGACGAACTTACATGTTTCCTTGTTCAAGAAGAAAGAAATCATCTTCCAACTTTCGTACCGCTGCTTCAGGACAATATTGCATCTTAAATTTTATCTCAAATTCATCCCATAACATAGTTTTCAGAATGTTTAGATCTGAACTTGACAAAATCTCCCACCAGTATAAAGAAGTTGACCTTAGACGGGATACAACAAACATAACATTATCTTCCTCTACACTTTTACTGATTTGAAGACTTAGTTCAACTTCCTTAAGCCAACACATGGCTTTGACAGGATCACGTTCACCAGAGAATTTAGGAGGTTTACAAACAAGAAACATTTTAATATCTCCTCCCTTATGAACTGAAGATGAAGTATGGGGCATAGATGTATCTGTTACCGGTGTACTGGCTCCGGCTTCTTCCTGATAGTCAGGTTTCCTTATTATTTCTGAGTTATTTTGTGCCGAACGTCCCAACAAATTTACCAAACTTTCTTGAAATTTTCCCAATTTAGCAGCCAACATTTCCTGAGTAACAAAACCAGGATCAAAAACATTATGTCCACCCCTTGCTCTACCTCTGCCACGACAAGACATTGACCTATCTTTGCGTTCTTAAACTCTGTTCCATTGTCACTTCTCAGCTTTTGAATTTTGCTATAGAGAAGAACTTGAATCTTGGTGATCAACTTAATCAGCAGCTCTAGGACATCTGATTTCTTCCTTACAAACTCAATCCAAGTATAACGTGAATATTCATCATTTAAGACAAATATATACTTCTTACCAGACAAGCTCTGCACAGAGATTGGACGACAAAGATCCACATGAAGCATGTGCAGAGGTCTGATACAAGACACATATGTCTTTGTTCTGTGAGATGCTCTTTTGAGCTTTCCCATTTCACACGCAGGGTAGAGATGGTCCTTTTCGAACTTTATGGCAGGAAGTCCGTTAACCAGATTATTCTTCACAAGCTTCTCT